CAGCCAAGAGCTTGGTACGTAAAATACAATAAATGGATGTTTAATGAATAAGGAATAAATGAATTAATACATCTGTGAAATGTATAATCCATGTCATTCTGAATTTATAACCCTATGACAAAATTTTAGCAATTAATGGAAAAACCAGAGGCCCCTATATAATAGTGTATTCCTTATCTAGGAAAATACATAATTTACTGATTATTCTCTCCTCTGGCAATTTCCTTACAGCAATAAATACATTTTTTGATAAGAATCAAGTTACTGAACCTAAAGAAGTGGAGTTTATGGAGAATCTTACATTTCTTATTATGGATATTCCTGAATTGGACATTCAGTCCTTCAGAGCTATGCACTGGTAATTAGCTACTTTGGGGGCACGTTTTTATTTACTTATAGATTATGTGTTCTTAGAAGTCAAGAGTCATATCTTCAGTTTTTAACTAACTTATATTGAGCATATTTGTATGCAGACAACCTTTTAAAATCTGTATAGGATATATTGTATTGTACTGAGCAAGTCAAAGAGTCCTAGTTCTCATGGAACTTACTGTTTAGTAAAAGAAAGAAACACTATAACCCACTATTAAAAAATAAACCATACAACTACATAAGTGCTGGAAACTTTAAAGGAGAAATTAAATTTGTCAGAGGTCAGAAAACCTATGGCATCACAGACTTGAATTTAACCTTTATTCTAAAATATGCATGCATATTTATCAAGCTATAAAGATATCCAAGATACAAATATGTGTGTTGGGAGCAGGATGTTTTGAGAAAGCGAATAGAATTGCATTAGCTTTTTTTTTTTCAAAATGTCAATGTTTATAGGAAATTAATGGAAAAAATTCATTTATATAAAACATTTAAAAAAACTAAAATAGCACCCGGGCTCGGTGGCTCAGCCTGTAATCCCGCTCCTTGGGAGGACGAGGTGAGTGGATTGCCTGAGCCCCTGGGTTCGAGACCCACCTGGGCAACTTGGCGAGACCTCATCTCTACAATAAACAAAAAAATTAGCCGAGTGTTGTAGCACGCACCTGCAGTTCCAGCTACCTGGAAGGCTGAGGCGGAAGGATCGCCGGAGCCCAGCAGGTCAAGGCTGCGGTGGCCAGGAGTGGCCACTGCACTCCAGTCTGGGCGACAGAGTGAGACTCCAACTCAAAAAAACCTAAAACTAAAATAGTATTCATATATATATACATGTGCATGCTATTTCATATACATATCCATGTGCATGCTATTGTAAACTTCAAATGTGTTCTTTAATCCTTAATATGTGATTAAGTAAAATATAAACTCACTCTAATAATATATGACTAAATAAAAAAGGCTTAAAGGGACCTAGAAAAATTAAAACTAAATACAAAGTTATTTGTACTTAATTTTAAGACAGCAAAAAGTTAATTTTTTTAATTTTTAGAACAAATGTGCTTCTACTTGCTCTAGTGAGTAGATTTTAAAACTTGGAATCTTTTGAAAGAAGATGCGATTATAACAATGTTCCAAATATTAATGTTAATAGGAATTTTACGGGACCAAAAAAAAGCAAACCAAAATGAAACATTGTTATTAATATTTAAGAAACCACCTGAAGAAAACTGAATTACACAAGTTTCAGTACTTCAGGACTTCCCAGGGCCATTGATAAGTGTCATAGAGCTTCTTGGGACCATCAAGTCATTTACCAGACCTGTCAGACCATGATCTTCCCTTGCTTGAACATCTTCCACGTCTAGTTGGTGCTCCAAAAGTATGCATTAGAAAACACTAAGGAAGCGTTTTTTTTGTTTGTTTGGTTTTTTTGAGTTGGAGTCTCACTCTGTCACCCAGACTGGGGTGCAGTGGCCGCTCCCGGCCACCGCAGCCTCGACCTGCTGGGCTCCGGCGATCCTTCCGCCTCAGCCTTCCAAGTAGCTGGAACTACAGGAGCGCACTACCACACCTGGCTAATTTTTGATTTATTGTAGAGAGAGGTCTCACCAAGGTGCCCAGGTGGGTCTTGAACCTGCAGGCTCAGGCAATCCACTCACCTCAGCCTCCCAAAGGCACTGGATTACAGGCTGAGCCACCCAGCCTGGCTAAGGAAGAGTTTTTAAATGGAAAATTCTAAAAGAGCCTACCTGTTTTTAACAAGTGTTAACACATAATTGTTCATTAACTGCAATTATCCACAGAGAAATGAAAATACATAATGATCAGAACTTAATTAATTATTAAAGATCTAGAATGGTTGTAATTGGAAAGTTTCAAAGGCAATCCCCCTTAATCAAATCATAATCAGAATTGTTGATTTAAAATATATAAAAACAAGAAAAAGAAAATTGAGGAACTGTGTTGTCCAAAAAGAGAATGGATTAAATAAAAACTTTTGGAAAGATAGAGAAATCTACACTACTAGAATGTTTGTGCAGTGTATGTTGAAATAAGAATTTCTCAACTTTTTGGCACTATTGACATGTTGGGCTGGACAATTCTGTTCTGTGGGGGGCTGTCCTAAACACTGTGGGATACTTAGCAGTATCCGTGGCCCCTCTCTACCCATTCAATGCCTCTAGCCTTTCACTACCCCCAGTTGTAGCAACAAAAATCTGCAAATATTGCCAGATGTTTATTGGGAGGAAAAACTTTCCAGTTTAGAGCTGTTTGTTTAAACAAAAGAAAGAAACATTTTCAGAAACAAATTGTAAGAAATACAAAGGTGACAGGTAAAAGTCAACAAGCAAAAAATAACCTAGACTAACAAAAAGAAGAAATTTCCAAAGTACTATATTTTAAAGCACAAGTCAAAAGCAAACAAAGAAGTCCCAAAAAGTCCACTGAAATTCAAACAATTTTTTTAATTTGTAGAAAAAATAAAGACACAAAGCCAGTTTGTCATTTTAGCATAATTAATGATAGAAAAATAAAATCAGTGTTCAAAGTAACTGTAATTTTAATTAATTTCAGTTTGTTTATGCAGCACTATTGATATTAATCCATCATTTAAAAAATATGACAATTCAACATATTAAAATGGTGTATTACATTTATACACAGTTTTTATGATATTATTTCTATAGCATTTAAGAAAACCTTATTTTTTATTATTTGCTAATAGGTATTTTGACCAATGCAAATTCTCTAACTGGTAATTGCACATGATGAGAAAAGGAAGCAGGGCAATTTATATTTTTGATACCAAATAATTAGAACACTTGTCCTTTATCTCTGAGTAAATATTATTTGAGTTAATGAAAACAAATGTTGAACCAATAATAATTATAGTTAGAATCAGATTTCTTAAAATGATAAATAGAAAATTGCTCAGCTATTTAAAATATTGTGTTGTCCCTTACCTGCTTGTATGTTTACTTGTTATGTGCAAATCATTTTGGAATTCTCCTCTTTCAGTGCTTCTAAAACATTAATATCAAGGAAACAGGCTCAATAAAAGACAGAAAATTAAATTTAGAAAACTAACAGAGGTAATAATTACCCAACTATACTATCAAATATTGCTTGTTCCAAATATACATTTATAAAAATTTTAGTTATTGTTTGTCTAGTGAGGTTATAAAGATAAAAAGAATTGGAACTTGCCCATTGACAATCAAGAAAATTTGTAATGGAAAACTTTACTCAATATAGCAGAATGTAATAAAAAACAGAAAACCATTCCCTTACCAAGAAGTGAGTATCTATACCAATGAATAATTATTAATTTCTTCACACATTGTCTCTGGTCCATTATTTTTAATTGTTTACAAAACTCTGAAAATAATCAGTTCATATTTAAGTAAAGCTATACATATTCTTCTTCAATTTTTCTAACATTAATATTTCCTATTTTTTGATTATTTTCTACATTAAAATGACTCCATGAAGACTATATTTAAAAATATTAATGACATTCAACATCCATTTTTAATAGAACAAATATTTAACAATCATCAGAAAGATAAATGATAAATAAATGTCGGCAAGAGTGTGTTTGGGATGTAAATTGGTAGAGAGTGATCATGTAACCTATGGAAGTTTCTCAAAACATTAAAAATAGAACTACCATACTATCAAGCAATCCTACTTCTGGGCATATACCCAAAGGAAATAAAATCAGTGTCTTGAAGCAATATCTGCACTCCCATGTTCGTTGCCATATTCTTCCCAATAGCCAAGACACGGAAACAACATGGGTGTCCATCGATAAATGGATAGATAAAGCAACTGTGATATATATGTATACATGCACACACACACACAATGAAATATTGTTCATCCATGAAAGAGATGGAATTCTGCCATTTGTGACAATGTGAATGAACACGGAGGACATTATGCTAGATGAAATTAATCAGGCACATCTAATACTGTATGATCTCACTCATATGTGGAATCTAAAAAAAAAAAAACAAAAAAACCTCACCAGAACAGAGAGTAGAAGCATGGTTTCCAGAGGAGATCTTAAGTGTTTTCACAAAAAAACATGACAGCTATGTGAGATAACGTGTTAGCTTGACTGTGGTAATAATTTTATAATGTATATGTTTATCCAATCATCATGTTATGCCTTAAAAATATACATTTTGTATTTGTCGATTATACCTCAGAAAAGCTGGAAAACATGTTTAACAAAACTTATTATGTATCAGCTACTATTTTATTTTTGAGTTTAAGTTAACCACCCATATTAATTTATTAAATCCAGACTGTGTTAAAGGGTGGCGGTCTGGGAGGAGGGAGCTGGTCGGGACCATGCTTCACCATGATTCCCAACGGTGCTGGGCTAGCACGGCGAGATGGCTGGAAACAGGGACAGACGGACAGACAGCGCCTCCACGAACAACAAGCCCTGGCCTGCCCTGGCCCCACACCCCACGCTGGGCCCTGGCCCAAGGGAGGCCTCCTGTCGCCCGGCCTGATCTGTCCAGGGAAAGGGCAACAGGGAGGGGAGGCGAGGGGCCCGGGAGGCAGGGGCGGCGGTGGCCAGGAGCCAGGGTGGACTGGGGGACCGATCGCGGCTAATCCTTTTTCTTGTCATCTGCTGGCTTTGGAGGGGCTTCCTGGGCTTGCTGACAGAGGTGGTCCCCTCGGTGGGATTGGCAGACAGGGACGCCGGAGCCTCCTCCCTGGCGGCGGTGGCTGTGGTGGTGGTCACAGGCGTGAGGACCCCTGCTGCCGTGGGAGCCTTGGCCACGGGGGCGGCTGTGGTCGGGTCCTCTCCGCTCATGCGGAACTCGTTCACCCGCGTGGGGTCGCTGTTGGTAGAGGTAGATGAAGAAGACCACATCATCTCGCAGGCAGCCGATCCGGTACATGACGGGCATCTTGATGACAAAGGCGAAGAGGTCGTCTATGAAAGCGTTGAGGGCCTTGCAAGTGAGCATGCTCCAGGGCAGGTGCGCCACGGACTTCAGCTTGTAGTTGATGAAGAGCTGGGGTGTCATGGTGATGAAGCCGAAGGTCAGCAGGAAGCCGTAGAGCTTGCTGAGCTCCCAGGAGTACCAGCCCTTGTGCTCCAGGTACAGGAGGCTGTAGACCGCGTAGCAGCCCAGGAGGGGGAAGAGGATCCAGGACAGGTACCCGAACGCCATATCGTCGTATACTTTGGTGGAAGACTCAATATACGTGGACTTGTCCTTGAAGGTTGGGCGGGGAAGGACTCCTGCCACCCTGTGCTCCCGGTCCAGCTGGACAACCATGACCTTGGTGATCTTCCAGAGGTCGATGAGGACCCCGATGAAGACGCTGACCTGGACCACGAAGCTGGTCTCGTTGTCCAGAATGTAGAGTAGAACCACAAAAGACTGGAAGACCCCAAAGAAGACGGAGCGCACGGACAGGCCCTCCAGCGACTGCCGGCTGTTCCAGAACTGGATGTCGTTCTTGAAGGCCAGGAGCTCAAAGACACCGTGGATGATGGACACGATGATGGTGAGTGCCAGCAGGTAGGGGTTGATCTCCAGGAGGGCCACCTCCACGGAGTCCTGCTCCTCGTCTGACTGTCCGTGCAGTTCGTCGCCCAGGAAATTCCAGGGCGATTTGGTGCTCTGGGCAGCATAGAGCTGCCAGCGCCACAGTGAGAGTGGGCAGAAGGAGATGCGGAGTGGCAGGCTGGCCAGACTCTCACTGATGGGGTAGTAGTCCTTCTGCAGGTTCCAGTAGTCGTTGACGTAGATGATGGGGTAGGAGTCACCGCTCACAGCGTCGAACTTCGCGTACTGGTCTAGGGGAGGGGGCACACTGCCCTTCACCCACGGCGTGTGGTCATCCACGACGTTGATGGTGATGTTGGGGTGCCAGTGCGAGATCACCTCCACAGGCCCGTAGTCCTCGGCCCTCCTGATCATTTCCGGGTCAGCTTCTGTCCGCTATCAGCTTCCGGGTCAGCAGGTTCTTGATTTTCTGAAATCGCCAGCGCTTGTATTTGTTGATCATCCGGGACATGTGGACCGTGGCGAGCCGGCGGTACAGGGCCTTCCTTCGAGGGTCGGGGTGGAAACCACTCTTGGCGAAATAAACGGGGATGTAGATGGAGCCGTTCTGCTGGACGCTCTGGGGGATGTCGAGCCCGGCAAAGTTGTCGCCGCTCTCCAGTCGCCATACACGAGGTCGTGCTGCTCCCAGAAGAGCGCAGACGTGGCCTTGAAGTCTGTAAAGTGCTCGTGCTCTGAGATGTACACGTGTAGGTTCATTAAAGTGTCTTTGGGGAACAGGTTGCGGCTGGCGCCGCGCGGGGCTCCTCCGGGGCCCGTCTGGTCCTGAGGGGCCGGCCCTCGGTGGAACCAGCTGCTGATGGCCCAGATGATGAAGATCCCGAACAGCACGCCTCTGATGACCTGCCAGGCGTTGGGAGCTGGCTGCTGTGGTGGGTTCTGGGGCTGGGTCTCCGCCGGCGGGTCCCTCCCTATGCTGCCATTGCTGGTCACCTGCCCCGGCCGCCACCACGGCGCTGCCGGCCCCGGCCGCCTCCTGCCCTGCCGCCATCTTCCAGCTCCAGGTACTATTTTAGATACTCAATATATATGATATATATCATTAAAAATAAAAATATTAAGCATATAAATATTTTTAACATGTGGCTTACATTCTAATGGTAGAGATAACTAAAAAAAATGTAAGCTAGAATTATATAAGGGTAAAGAAAATGTAGAGGAGAGAGAAATACTTGGTTATGTTTTTAAATAGTATAGGTCTTATTGAAAAGGTGATATTTGGGCAGATAGTAGAAAGTGGTGAAAGTGCTAACATGAAGATTTCCGGGAGATAAAACGGCCAGTGCAAAGGTCTGGTGACTCAAACCTGGCAGGCATGTTCAAGAGCCTGGAAGAAAAGCCAGTGTGACTGGAACTGAGTGAGCAAGAAGGAGAATAATAGCTGATGAAAGCAAGGGTAATTTCAAGAGGCAGTTTATGCAAGTCATTTTGAGCACTTTGGCTTGTGAAATGGACAGCATTTCAGGGTTTTGAGTAGCAAAGTGATATACTTTGACTTTTACTTAAAGGATCACTCTGGTTGCGATGTTGAAGATAGTCATTCTTGGGAAAGCATAGAAACTGGTGAACCAATGAGAAAGCATTGCAATAATCTATGTGTGAAGTGATAATGGTTTGGAGAGGAGTGAGGAAGTGGATGCAGTGAGAAGTGTTTGAACACTGGATATACTTTTAGGTAGAGTCAACAGGATTTTCTTACCAATTAAATGTAGGCAAGAGGAAAACAGAAGTCAAGCATGACTTCAAGTTCTTGGATTGAACAACTGGAGAAAACTTAGAAGCTAAAGATGGAGCATATGGGAGGGTAGGGAAGACCTCTTTCAACTACACAGAAAAAACAATGGAAGTCTCCATGCTCAGTGCTATCTATAGACTAGACAGTTCAAAATCTGCAATTCTAACCAGGTATGAATTATAAGTACGCATTTGCAACATCATGTTACATGTTCTTCATAGATAATATGTGACTTCCTCAAATTTGCTATGTCTAAACAAAATTTCTGTCTTTCTCCTCAAATATACTACTCCCCCAGTATTCCCTGTATCATTAAAAGGGAACGTCAAAAACACAGTTGTACTAGAGCTATGTCAAATCCTCATTCTAAGCTCCTCTTAACCACGTTGTGTCCATATTTTTAATTACCTCTTGAGTCCTTATCACTCTCTTTATCCTTTCTGATACAGATTAGTTCTATACTATTTGTCACCCAAGTCATTGCAAGGGTCCATTAATACCTCAGCACACAACAGCTGTAGTGTCATTAACAGGGTTTTTTCCTTCAAATTTCAGCTAAAACATTGTTGCCGTCTGGAAGTTTTTTATATTCCATTTGACTTAACTCTCTTCTTTCATACTCCCACAATATTCTAACATATGTCCACTGTTTTTTATATATATATATAAAACCAACAATTAATATCATTTATTTATAAAATGTTTAACAATTCATACCAGAACAACTAGAATCCACCTGTATAATTTATGGATTTGAGGTTTGAGGTTTGGCTCTGGGCTATGTTGAAGAAGGTGAACAGGAAAATAACTAGGATGTCCTTTCTCTTGTGATTGAGCTTACAGAGCAGCTGCTATGTAGCCAGTAGTCACCACTGATTAAAACTCTCAGCTCCACATCTGGGAAGACATTCCCCCAGGGTACCTGATTCTTTCCCATGACATGTCATATGGGAAATCTGTTTTATTCTCTTTCTCCCACATTACTTATACTTGGTTCCTGACATCTCCTTTAATTCCCCACTGACTCACAGCCCTTGTACCAGATTTGAGCTTTGACTACCTGTCCTAAGCCTTCAGAGCCGTAGGATGCCCAAGCATTAAATCTTAATCTCCCCCAAGTCTTCTCTTTTTTCGTCTACAGAAACATTTGTCCACCATGTCCTACCACTTCTACTTTAATTCTCATTTTATTTAAGACAAATACAGTCAACAAGCCAAAATATTTTGGTTGGATACATGCATTCACAATCATTTTTGAAAAACAGTTGGTTAGTTCACTAGCATCCTAGTTGATTTTCTAGTAACTAGTGATTAATAGCTAGTATGCAACAGTGTATATTTTTACATTTAAAAAAATTCAACTGTATTTTATTTGCATTAAGATTTAAGTAAATTCAGGAAGTTAATATGAAATCTTACCCAATATTATGTCTGTTGATTCTACTAGGAAATGAACATTAATTTGCAAGCAAATTAACTTTTGGACTACATTCCACTGGAAACTTACAAATCAAGTGATCAAAAAGGGAGAATATGTAGATGTCCTCCTAATCATTGGTACTTATTGCTTCTATGTTGTTAAATTGCACACACAAATATATGTAAGCAATTATTATTATACTGCAAGAAAAAGAAATGTGGTATACAACCACAGCCCATGTTGGAAACTAGTGTGACCTAATGTATCTTATGTTGCTACCCACTACACAAATGATGCTACTAGATCCAGAAGAAAAATATTTTATTGTTGCAAATTATAACATTTTAACCTGTGTCTCATGCTATATTTATCTTACATAAAACTTTATTTAACAATATATATTTTCAATGCTAATTCATTTTTATGAAATAACGAAGTAGAGGTTTTATTTGGAGATATGTATACAAACACATTGATAGATACAGGTATAGATACACATGAAATCTGGAAAAGCCATAGGGCAATTTAAACATCATTAATATAAGATTTCAATTATTCAGTCCGAAGTATGGATGATGGACTGTTTTGTTTAGCTTTGGATAATCAAGAGAAAAAAAACTTGGATAACTTTTATAACCTATTTAAAAACTGGCACACAAATTTGAAAATAAAAAGATAATTATCATAATAGTATTTCAATAACATTTCTCTATTTTATTTATTTTTTTGCATGCTGTGAGATTGTTTGGTGCAAAACATATCCCATGATTCAAGCATGCCACCTTTTAGGAATATTACTGATTTAGGGCACAATTATCATAACTGATTTGAATTAAGAAAACTTTTGGTTTCTTTTGTATTTGTGATGAATTACACATTAAGCATCTTATTTTAAAAGCATGTCCTCTGTGCTTTATTGAACATTGTCAAATGCTTTAAAAAATGCCTTAGTAATCATATGTTATGCTTTTCCAAGATACCAAAGAAAATATTTTTTTTAAAGCTTACACAGATCGCAATAGACTTTTCTATTGCTTTACAGTTCTTAAGTTCAAAGATGATTATTATACATTAAAGTTTTGTATATTTTAATTCCAAACTGTGAATGTTCATACAGAAAAGTAATCTACTATTTTGTAGATTGCCTTATGTGTGTATTGGGCTTTAATTTCAGAGTTATTTCATACACATATGCACAGAGACAAAACACACACACTACTTATTTTTTTAATTTCCTCATAACTTCTTGTAGACAGGTTCCACCCATCTAAAATATTAGGAATATGAACCTCAAAGAACTCTCAGAAAAATAAGTTCTAAACACAAATTGTCCTTGTATGGAACACATTTATATAGAAATGTGAGATGCATTTAAAATTCATGGTACATTTTTAAAACTATAGGGGAGAATGATCTGAACGATAACAAACTGGGAGTCATAAGAAAGAAAGAGAGTGTCTGAAGTTCTGAAAAAATAACCCAATGTTCATGTCTAAGAAGCAGAGAAGAGACCAACGTCTTTAGTCAAATGACAAGGAAACTGAGAAATGACCTATTGATGGACTTCAGGTTCATCAAGTATTGTTCATTTGCTGTTCAGCAAATGGAAATCTGCCCTTTTAATCATACCAAGGGAGCTGCTGCAACAGAAAGTGACAAAATAAGCTGTACAATTAAACTTTGTTAGGAGAGGGCTGGTATATAGCATAGTAATAAACAAGTAACCACAATCACATGCACATACATACTGCCTTCAGTCACTTAAAAAAAATTCATCACTTCAGGATTAATTTTTCTTGGAGTAAGTAAATGTGTGAAATATAACAGGAAAATGCCCAAGTGTTAAGATTCTGCTTTTTGTGTGTGTTTAATGAAGTCTTAGAACATATTCAAAGGGACAAATGTCACCACATTTATTTTGTAGTTAGAGAAAGCAAACCTTAAAAGGAGGATATTATTCAAGGTATATACCTGTAAGATGTTTGAAGTCCAATAGGAACTAAATGTGAACTTACCAATTTAAGGAAGGCTTTTCTAAACATTGAGAAAATTTACTTAAAAAATTTACCACGAATTCTACTTCATCTAAACATATTCCAAGGGGGCTGAAGAGGTGCATGATGATTCACCCCTAAATGTGATTTTTTGTCACAAGGTCTTTCTGATCTTCCTGCCTCCACTTAGTCACACAGAAGCTACTTCCTTTTCCTGTTATTACATTATCTATTGCAGAAACCAAGAACAAGATATGATCATATTTGAGCAAAGCTTCTTAAGTATGAGAGAGGACTCCCCCAAAAGATAATTTATTTGTAAAAAAAAATGTGTATTTATTCTTACGTTTAAACTTCAGTCACCTTCCAAGTACTCTCCATTTGATGCAATATACCTATAGAGATGCTTTTTCCACTGCTCAAGACACTTTTTGAACTTGTCAACTTTTAGTGCTTCTGCTGTTTTTTGTTTTGCCTTTTCCACATCAGCAAAATGATTCCCTTTGAGGACTTATTTCCTCCAAGGAAACAAACAAAAAAAATCACTTAGGGAAAAACCAGGTGAATAAGGAGGGTGGGGCATGGGGTCATCCCGTTTTTTGGTCAAAAACTGCTGAACACTCAGTGTGGTGTGGACAGGTGCATTGTCATGGCAGAAGAACCAGTCACCTGTTTGCCACAACTTAGGATATTTTTTCCACAAATCGTGATGCAACCTTCTCAAAACTTCCAGATAAAAACTTTGACCATTTGATCCAGAGGTACAAATTCCAGGTGTACTATAAAAGACCCACCCACCAAAAAGATAATTCAGTGTTTTGTGGGTCTTCCCTGGTATAATG